ACCTGCAGAATAAAGGTGCTGTTCTTTTTGCCTTCAGCAGTCCAGAGCTGATATTGCTGCTTAGCAGTTCATTTTCAGAAACTACTGAGCTGAAAAGGCAATAAGCAAACGGTAGCTTTCAGATAAGGGTATGTGTTGAAAGGAAAGAAATATGGGAGAGAAAGAGCACAGTTCCCTGGTTGTATTTTAGCATTATAATTGCAATTACATTTTAATTCCAAATAGTCTGGAATATCTGAGTATTAAACATAATGATTAGCTGAGGCCAACAAAGGTTACCCTTATTCACGTTTTTGATCTTGGCACTTCTGGAGGACCCTGTTCAGCTACATGATACTCATTAGCAGCCATAACCTGACCTCTCTAAATAATTCTGGACTTACTGGAAACCAACTGGGTATGCCACTGGTGATTTGATGGGGCTGATGGTGGGTAATCACTACAGAAATTTGTTCATTAAATGGGCACCCTATCAGAGCAGCCTATTAAGAATTTATAGAAAGCACTATTACAGTACCGTGATCTCTGTGGCGCCGCGGCACTGGAGTGCAGGGCCTCTGAGCAGTGTAAATGCACAGGGTGAGTTTTGTTCTCAAATACCCTCTGATGGGCACTGCAAACAGCCTCAGCCCAGCCTTTCTCATAACCACTTACCCCGACCTTACTGAGCTCTGGAGCGGGAAGGCTGATCTGAGCAGAGCAGGGAAGTAGGGGACTGAGGGGAGAGCATCTTTATGTACAGGAAAGGTGAAAATAGTTTCTAGTAACATGTACAATGTGCACTAAGAGGGCTGCACAAATCATACATAAAAATCGTACAGATGTCGCTGTTAGTGCCATTTCTTCAAGAGTGGTATTTTCCTATCCAATAGAACGTTTTGCAAAGGTATTTCATTGTGAATTTAAGTTATTAGTTGTTCATTCTTCTACAAAATTGACTGTAAGATGCATATGATATCTATTTTAAAATAAGGTTCAGCATTACCTGCTATTCAGTGCCTAAATATATATTTTGCATATTTACGTCTATGTATATAATGAACACGTCATATTTTTCTTTTGTATTTTTATTACATATTTTGTGAAACCTTTCAATAACAGAACAATGATGGAAAGGGTAAAGAAGTGCTACTTGTGAAGGAGGAGAGCATTAGACACTTATAGAAAGGTCACTTACAGGAACTGTAAGCTTTTATGAGACTTTATCATTTTGCTGACAAGGTCAACTTGGTATTGATTGGCTGGGTGTTCTGCTTAGTTACTTGAGGGCCAGTTATTTGAAGAAGCCTGTGTTAACATCCAGGCAATATTCTTCATACTCCTGCCCAATTTCAGCATTTTGAGTTGCTTACTGTATTGTATTTTTCCAAACAAAATATGAAATAAAGTTCAAGTATTTGATTGCCAGTGTTTAAATTCAGGTCCCTGTACCATACCATCATTTGTTAAATTTAACTGAATCTCTTACTGTAGAAAAACTTGAATATTTGATTTGTTGTTTCTGATGCATAAAACCATTTTTGATGAAAAATTATAATAAGTATTTTTTCAGTTCTTGAAAATTATTTATCACCTGCTCTCATGTCAGTCCCAGGAGTCTGTGGGTTTATGAGACACTAATGCCCTAAGCAAAAATAAAGGAAGCACAGGCTTGGTCCCTTTCAACTTCCCTGAAAGGAAGCCAAAGTTTGCTGTGCCATTCCATGCTCTGGTGCTGTATCTTTCGTCCTTGTGTGAGCCTTTTTTCCAGTGGCTGTGGTGCAGTGGGGTTGGCGTGGGGCAGGTGAGCTGCAGGGTTTCTTCCTTCAGGTGGTGAATGAGTAGATGAGTTGGGATGTGTCTGCATTACATCTGTGTCCATACCCTTCCACCACAAAGGGTCTAAAACTCCATCCTGGGTCTTTCTGGTCTGTGCAGAGCACCCTGAAGGTGATGGGGATTCCAGCCTGGTGCTGATGTGGCTGGTGATCAGAACTACAGTGGGAAAAGCTGAGCTGTGGCCAACAGGTGTGCCTGGGCTTTGCCCCCTGCTGCTGCAGATGTGGGCACATGCAGCAATGGCAGCAGTAGCATCCCTGGGCAGGGGCAGTGGCTGTTGGGATATTCAGAAGTTGGTCATATCTTTTAATCATCTTTGCCCTTATATAACAAGGCATCAGAGAATTATAGCTTTTAAGGGCATATTTCGTTAGTTTACAATTGAGAAAATGCACATCCTTTACATAAGAAGGCAGCACAGTGAAAGTACCACAGTGAAAGAGAATACCTGGAATATGTAATTAATATTAATTGCTTACATTAAATTATTTCGTCTGTCTGCTGCCTTGGTTAACGTCATTTAATATATTCCTGCTACAAACAGTCCTCACAAAGTAGACTTTGATTATTAAACCTTGTTTTAAAAGAGTACAAATAAATCTTCCTTAAGTAGTTGTTTACTGCAACTTAAGTTTTACAGGTCTCTGTGCATCATAATAATTTTTTATTACTTGTTAAAAATCACTTGAAACCTCCCACAAAATAGATGCACAGGATCTTTTAGGGGGAACTTCTGTGGTTTGGTTTTGTGGGGTTTTTTTGTTTGAGTAATGAGCCAAATTTGTCAGATTGGTGGTTTTGCACTTTGGAAAGTAGGATGCAGTGCCTGTGTCCAAGGCTGCTTGCACTTGTTGCCTTCCTGGCAAAATTTATTTCTTCTCTACTGCATCTTCTTAATAGAGGCCCTTAATTTCTCCTTGTTTTCCTCTGGCTTCTGTAGCTTTGTCTCCATTTATTCTGTCAGACAGGATATATTGGAAGGCTTTTTCCTGTCAGTAACCATTTCTACAGAGTCCTCAGTTCATCTTTTAAGCCAACTCTGTGCTTGCAATCAGGGCCCCTTTGCGTTCTTCTGTCGCTATTAAAGCGACTCACAGAACAAGCACTGAACTTTGCCAATAATAGGCAGTCTTGGGGAAATAACAGTAAATTATTTAAGCAAATAGCTTTGGAGAAGCAAGTATTACTTAGTAGGAGCCTTGTACAGCAGCAGCTTATCACCAGCTGGGTACAGTGCAGTCAACCCGCTGCACAAATCCCTGTTCAGGGCTGCAGCCCCATGATGCTCTCTCAGCTGGCTCTGCTGTCTGGCAGCTCCTTGGTTCATAGCTTTGATTCTGTCTCTCTCTTGAAGAGTTTTTTATTGACTGAGGTGCTTTCAAGCCCACTTTGAGTAGGAGATATGAGTTGTTTTTTGTTTGGGGTTTTTTTGGTACTAAAGCTCTTTATCCAGGTGCCATTAGTTTCTGAAGGGCTGTTCCATGTCAGGTTGAAGGGCTGGACATGACTCCCTGAGGTTTAGTGTTTCAAGCAGAGACATGCCTTCAACCTCTTTCCCCAGATAACCTCCTGAAACCTGGAAAAAGCAAAGAAAGCAAGGCATGCAATCCACAGTGTTAGTTCTGCTGTAATGGTCTGTCTCACTTCTTCCCTCCAAAGGTTCTGAGGATCTGGATTTTGTTTTCCTGTTACAATGTTAGAAGCCTTATTCCCTCTTCACGTCATGTGTAGTGTTTTCCACTCCTGCTCAGGAAATTGATCCTTTCAAAAGTATTGGAAGGACACAGAAGCAGGAGATGGAGTTCTGGAGCACTGTGCAGTACCACCAGGTGTGTCTCAAACACTCAGTTTCAGAACTTGGCCATCTCTTTAGCTCTCTTGGAAGTGCTTTCTGTGGGGTTTTTGTGTTTACCTTTTGTGTGTTTTCACTTTTTCTGTTTTTATGTTCTCAGCTGGCAGTATGTAGGGTTAAAGTCCTTGTGGCAGATGGGAAATGGGTCAGTATCAAACTGAGTATTAAACTTATTTCCATCTGCTGCTGACCTTAACATCATGAAGAAGCTGTGAGAAATTATCTTCTAATTAAGCAAAATCTCTTTGAATTTCCATGGAGGTCTTTTTGTCTTCTAGAAATAATGTTTACAGGCACCTTTTTTCTGTTGCATTTGTTTTTCTAGGTTATTAATATCTGCTAATCTAAAAAGAAAACAACCAAACTGAACAGACTTTTGGTTTGTGAGCCATACTGCTGTAAAAGCTGTGCTGTAATCCCTGGTATTTCATCCCAGTGTTTGTCTAAATTTAGTGATGGAAACAGCTCAATGAAGGCAAGGATACAGGACAAGTGCCTCAGTTGCACTTGCAGCTGCAGTGCACGTGATTTTAAGGATATTGGATTTGAGCATCATTATACAAATACATACAGAAAACTCAAGATGCAGTTTGGAAGCTTCCATTGAGGATTTGTAGCCCCTGTGTGGGCAGAAATTCATATGGGAGATGGAGGGGAAGAAAAGGGGTTGTAGAACAGGGTAGAAGCTTCTTCCTGTTGAAATGTCCACAAAATCTAAAAGAAAAGGGTGTTTTCTGAAGCATTGCATGCTCTTCTGGAGTAACAATGTGGTATACTTTTATTTATAAGAAATGTGGTGGTTTTCTAATGTCTGAAGCCTTATTCTTGATTAGATGTAATGTAAGTCACAGGAGAATACTTAAAAAGAGTGAACTTTCTGCTTTCTAGATTTCATATTTTAAAAGACATAAAATGTTATTTTCACTTAACATGAATATGCATCCCTTTAGAGAAATAGTAACTGTTCCATCTTTGAAATCAAATCTAAGTTGTTGTAATATATTTTATATATAAGATACAGTTATTGCTTGGTCTTATAGGACAGTGCTTAAGATTTGGTTTTGATTTCTTCCTTCAAGTAGTTGTTATTTTAATTCTATTTTAAAGAGCCCAAACAGTAAAATATGAAACGTTCAGTTTCTTTCCTGGATTATAGTGATATTAATGAAATTTAATTGGTTTCTATAAAAAAAAAGATTGACCTTTTTGACCTAAAAGTATATAGTATGTCTGAAATAAATTACTGTTGTTTTTTTTTTTTGTTGTAGGACTGTTTCCTTAAGGCATTCCAGTTGCTTGTTTTCATGACTTTGAGCCTATTTAATCAGAGATGGAGCAGATGGACTGCAAACCCTACCAGCCACTGTCAAAAGTTAAACATGAGGTGGATCTAACCTACACAAGTTCTTCAGATGAAAGTGAAGATGGTGGAAAGCAAAGGCAATCCTATGACTCAAGAGAAACTCTGAATGAATATAGCCAAGAGCTAAGACTTAACTATAACAGTCATAGCAGAAAAAGAAAAGCCATTGACCAGTCCACGCAAGGTAAATAATTTATTTTATCTACTAATTATGATTATTACTTTCTGATTATGCACTATGAGAACATACCAGGAATTGAGCAAACTTTTTATTCTTAGAGTCTCATAGTATCAACCCACTTTTTACCTAGTTTTAATCATCCTGTAATATCAGAAATTTAGGAATTTTTTTTTAAGATAAAGTGCATTTTTAGCAGGATGGACTGACTGGTATTCTAGAAACCATCACATGCGAGCTACAGACAAATATTTTCTTAAGTAGGAGCTACTCTTCTTAATAATGTTGAGTGATTAATTATTTACTGCCTTTGCATATGTTGGGTGCATTTTGCTATAAAATCAACGTTGAGGCTGCAGGCTATCTCTGCATGTGCTTACGAAGCCTGTGAATTAATTCAGATACAACAATTCTCTTAACATTTCTAATCATATAAATAATTGAGTAATTTAAAAACTGAAGTTAATTAGTGTATTGTAAGGAAAAATCCCCAAGAGTTAAGTTTCTGTTTTAGCCTTTTGCATGATTAGGACAAATATTTGAGCAATGACGATAGTTGAACTAAAGTTAGGAAAAGCTTCTCTTTGATTAGAGACAGAAGCTAAAGACTAAGACTCAAGAAATGGAAGGAATGAGCAGAATTTACTGCAGCATTTCCTGACAGATTCTGTAAACCCATGTGCTGCTTTTTGTACACAATGAGCACAGAAGGGTCTTATCTGCTGCTTTCAGCTCTGTCCCCAGTCCAGGAAGGATGGTGGGACAGGGAGAGTATTTGTAGGAATCAGTGTGTCAGACTCAATGAGAGTTCTGTCCCTTAAAGGTAACAGCAGCAGGGTCCTGGGGCCAGTCACTCTCTGCTCTTCAAGGAAGTGGTTAAATTACATTAAAGTGTGGCCAGTACTTCTCAGCTAAAACTTAAGGTATTTATTTAAAAACAAACAAACAAACCCAAAATCCTCAAACAAGCCACATCACACACACACCCTGCCCCCAAAGCCCTTGCTGCTTACTCAGAAAAGCCTTCAATTTTCTGAAGATAAAAGTAATTATGTTTTTCTACAAGGGAATGAAAAATAGGCTTTTTGAAGATGGAAAATTTGTCTTCTCTGTGATGTGTAAATTAATGTGAAATTTGGAACAGCTGTGCTACAAAGCTATTGCAGCATTTTTGTTTTTTACTGCAGATATTGTACTTCAAGTTACACCCATAATACTGGTGTTGTCTGAAAGTACCTGTAATTCATGGGAGCAATAATACTTGGCTGCCTCCATCTGTGTGCATATATTCCCTCCAAAGAGTTACAAAACTGCCATTTTTGGGAAGAAAAAGTCATAAACATAGATTTCAACAGAGGATTGTTTAGAAAACAGATTTGTTTGTTGTTTGTGACCTTATTTTGAACAGGCTATGAGAGTTTAATTAACTGAGATATGGCTGTATTGTTGTACCTCTGGATGGTGTAAACATTCTTGTAGCTCTCCTTGGAGCAGCTCCCTTGTTGCCTGTGCCTGTGGGAGCAAACCTCAGCATGGAGCTGGGTGTGCAGGGCTGTGCTGCTGTTGATATTCCTGTCAGCTGCAGCATCACTGGCTTGGGCATGTCTGAAAGGCTGGCAGTCACTGCTGTAGGCATCAGAAACCAGCCTCTGTGTCATGCTGAATTCATTCTTCCAGAACATTGCCTCTGAAAGCAATCACATTAATAATTTTGGAGAAATAGCCAAATTAGTGTGCATTTCTGTAAGAAGTTGTCAGGCATGAACTTAGCTCCGTTCTTCAGGAGTGACCTGTAATGAATCAGTTGTGTGCATGTGCTGACTAGGAAGTATTTTGCACTCATGTTGTGTGATTATTTTATTGAAGTTATATGCCCCAAGATTTTTCCATTCAAATTAATTTTTACAAGATACTATGTGAATTTTAAGAGCTTCTATTTTTCAAACATTGGTATTTTTCTTTTTGGACTAAAGACAGTCTTTTATTGCTTCAGACTGCAGGATGAGGTTTGATGTCCATGTTTCTAGAAAAATTACTTAAGTTTCTAAGAGTACTTTGCCAATACACAGGGCAGCTCTTAAATATTTCCTTACCTCTTCCCAGAATTGTGTAGGTCAGTATATAATTATTTAACACTGTGTTATTCACCTCAAAATATTTTTAAAATCCTATTCACATGCACTGGTTTGTAAAGATGGAGTTGAACCTGTATGAGAAATCACAATTTTGTCTTATGTCATGAATTCAGTTTGGAATAACTGATACTGTAATTGCACTGCCGAGTATTTCCATTTGGCTTCTCAGGAATTCATCCTGACATCCTTCTAGTCATTTAAATGATGCTTTTTCTCTGCCACAAATTGAATCTGAATATTTGGCCTGGCAAGCAGTGCAGATTTGAAGTATAAAACTGGTGGTGCTCTAAATTCAAAGAGCAAAAGAGTTTGTAAAGCTGAGTGTAAAATTTCAGACTTCAGGCAGGTAGGATTGCAGTTCTAGTGAAATCAAAGTGTTTCCAAAAGGATCCCAGGTTTCACAGTGTTGGACCTGGAAGTTCCTGGTAGTTCTTGGTAGGAAAAAGGTTCAGGTTTGAACTGTGAATCTGGATGAATCCATAAAACTCTAAATGGTTTATTTTTTAAATCCATTCTTTTCTAAAATGCCTCATCAGAATCTTTAACAAGATTTTTCTAGATGTTTTTCACATCTTCTGAATGTAAAAAAAGAAATTAAAAAACCTAAACCCCCACAGCACCCCCTTTTCAAAGGGGACTGTTCTGCAAGGAGTGCTGTACCATGCCAGTGCTGGAGAATTGCATAAAATAATTCTACCTGTAAAGGCTGTTGGAGCATCAAAGGTTGTATCCCCAATTAGTGCCAAAATACTCTTCTTTAGTGCCATAATATTCTTCTCTAGCTACAGCTGAAATAGTTCCCTACATGTGATGAATTAACAGAGTGCACAGTGAGGATAATGCCCATGAACTTCATCCTGGAAAAGTGTGAGAAGAGATGAGAAACACACACCCAGTAACAGCCCTGCTTGGGGTGATAATGATGACTGTGAGGTGGCATTCCAAGGAGCTCTAATGATGGCATGTGGGAAGGAATTCTGACAGAATAAAGTCATTAATACAGAGAAACTTTTAACAGGAACAAATGTAGGGGTGTGAGTACTGATCTAGTTAGTTTTGTGAGAAGAGTCAGTACTTGAGATGTTTATGAAAATTCAAAGAATTGATATTGGCTACTTAAGCAAGATAGGTTATGTAATTTAGACTGGGCAGTCATCTGAATTTAGTAAATAGCTTCAGAGTAAAATGTGATTTGTTGCACAAAATACTGCTGTATCTCAGCCATTTCTGTGAAGATTGCTGTTATAAACAGTTTGTGTATTTCATTGTTAATGTCAATACTGAGGAATTATTTCTATGAAAAGTTTCAATAGAAATCTGAGATTATGTACAATCATAGATATTATATGTTTGCATATATGGACAATCTGTATTAAACCAGAACTTTACAGGACATGAACTTAAAGGAATCACTTCAAGAGTTCATCCTCTAGAATTGAACAGAGCTGTTAGTGTTTTCCAAAACATTTTTTGTGTCTGTTGGAAAGGCCACATCCTGTGATCACATAAATAGCAAACATTGAAAACAGTATCCAAATATAGAATACTTAACTGTGTCAGTATTTTTAACTTCTTACAATTCCTGAAATTGTATCTCAAATGTTATGCTTCAGATTGGTTGGTTTTGCAAGTCTTTAAGGAAATATAAAATAAAAGTAACCCCAAATAAGTACAGAATCGATCTATTGATCAAACAGTTTTTTTACATGCTGTTGTTCAGGTTTAATACTGGTGTCCTTTATACAGGGTCCAGTGCCAGCTGAATTCTGTGTCTGGTGTTACTTGGATAAGATACAGATAACTTGCAGTTATCTGAAAATTTGAGATTTACCAAATAACACCACAAACTGTTTAAAGCCCAACTGAATTTTGCTGGCCTAACAACTCAAAGTGAGCAGATAAAAAAATCTCCTGACAAAGCATCACTGACTCCTGAAGAGTCAGTGCTAAACACATAATGTGTATATCTAAAAATGCATTCTCTTAGTAACTGGAAGGTTCAGAATCCTGCTTGTCTGAAGATATGTAAACCTGCAATATCTCATCCTGGCAAGATCATCTTACAAAGTAAATTCCTGGCAGACCCAATATCATAGAGTTTGGAGATATTGGCAAATGGAGTAAATGAATTCTTGGAAGAATTGGTAAACATACTGTTTTGTCCTTGAAGGAGATGGAGTAGAATTGGCAGAAGTTGTCAGAAATGTTGCTCTTCTAGGAAAATCATTGATGGACCTGGCTGTGAGGAAAAAAAGTTCTTACAGATGCACCATACGTAGATTGCATCTCAAGCTTATTTGTGACATGTTTACATAATTAGAACTGCTTTCTCCCACAGCTTTCTCTGTTTCCACCAAAGCAAATATGAAAGGAGCTGTACTCTACAAATACTGGCAGTACAGAAAAGCTTTCTGGCTTTTAGGTTAATTATAGATTTGTAAGAAAACACTAGTTTAGAGGAATGAATTCCTGATAGGATAATCATCTGGGATCGAGTCATTGGCATGATAAACTTTATTGATTGTTAACAATATGAGCATATGGCAGTAAATTTCTGGTTAGACAAATGTTCATTTCCTGGCAAGATAAGTGTATTGAACTGCATTATGGGCAAAGCAAAATGGAGTTATTCCTCACAGGAGAATCCAACAGCAAATAATTTCTGGTAAATCCGTGTGAGAAAATCAGCATCACTAGTATTGTAGGAAATGACAGAGTGCCTCACAAAGAATTGGCCGATTCTGCTTTTAGCCCGTTTAAAACATAAGGGAACCGTTTTTGTGGACAAAAGCTCCAGATTGGTGACATGATTAATGTTTTCTGAAAAGCACATATAAAATTATCTTCAGGAGCAATAGGTAAACAGATCCA